ATCAACTACTGGAAGAAAAGGCTAAAGAACTGATGTTGCAAACTTGACAGAGATGGTGCTCAAATGTCAAGCCTCAACCAGTCACCGGCAGATGACAGGTATGTTGCTAAGTTGGTGTTGTGGTATGGGAAAGTTGAGAAATAACGCTGGATATGGGTCGGCTTTGATTGTAGATCCAACGTGCTTCTATACGAGGCGCCGTGCATGGTCAACGGGATTCCTGTCACATTGCATGTGACGTATGGGTAGGGCTGCTTTTATTTGCTTTCCAGACATGAGTGTTGTATTAACTTTTTGAATTTCGCAGGAACTTAATTTATCGGACCATGGTGCCCGTGTTCGCGCACACCACCGTGGTTCCGTTCGAAGATGTCGTGAATGTTGTCCAGACTACCTCGTTTGGCATTCAGGTGGTGTCCATGGAGCTGGATTCATCAAAGCATGGCAAGGGGATCACAATCGCCATGGGACTTGAAGTTGATTTGCTCTATCAGCTCTTGCACGAGGTGAACTTGAGTTTTCTTGCATCATGTCGCTCGCTTGTTCACTCACCAACCTTTTTTTTATTCAGCTCTTCTCAATGCACCAGAAAGAGATCAAGGCAAATACCACCCCGTTGCCGCCACTACAGCAGCAAGAAACGGAGAAGAATCCTGCCGAGTTGAAGAAGATCCTAGGGTCGGAAGAAGAGGAGACGAAAGAAGACGATGTATCCCCTACGAACGACTCTGTTGCTCCTGCAAATGCTGATGGTGGCGCTACCGTTGCGTCAGCATGAAGCGACTAAAAGAAACTCACGTCATGTCGGAAAGTATGCAAGAAGCTTATCACAACACATACGTCCCAGGAGCTCATTATCGTTCGCCAGATACATAATTTATTTCAAATAGTGAAGTCTGTGCGCCATGTTGCGTGCCATCTTGTCCAAGCAACACGGGAAACTGGACCTTGCAACGTCATGTGAACCCCCGATAATCATTCTCCCAACTCAATGGGGGCGCCGTCGGTTGATACTCATGAGCAAGAGGGACAGACTCAATTGTCGGCAGCTGGTTGTCGTAGGTTGAGTCTGCTAGCAGCGGCTCCTCCATGTCGCTGATCATGATCGTAGCACTCGGAACGCGCGCCATCTCATTGGATCGTCGCTTCCAGAGACAGCAGCGGCGGTACAGGTAACAAAAGAGATATGAGCTGCACAGGAACACAGCTACGAAGCACACGAGCAGCGCATCAGTCCAGTGCATTTGCTCGAGCCGCGCGGTCTGCTGCAGCGAGGAGGGCACGTCAGTGTCGACCCACATCATCTTGAAGCGCAATTGAGTTTTCTCATGAAGACTAAACTGGACCAAAATTTGAGGGTGTATATTCGATTAGAACAAAAAAACTCCAACTTTGCGTGAGCCAGCTAGCCATGCAGGACCAGATAGCCATGCATGTACGCGTAAATGTATAACGGTGTTTTAATAACATCTTCGGAGCGTTGGCTTGGGTTTGCACACTGTGTGGAAATTCCGCTTCATAGTGCTATCTCTTTTTGACGTAGTGTTGCAATTTTCCTGAATGAATCCGCTCACTCACTGCAACTCGTAATACGTTGTCAGATGTGAAAGAGAATTGCAACCCTTAGCCAACCGGGTTAACTGCCTGGTCCATGAGTGCGTTTTCGATGAGCTCCTGGCTGGCTGTGATGCTGTTGGCAGCAGCGCCCATCATAAACTTGGTCATGGCTCCCATGACCGGAGAATCTTTTTCCGGCTGCTCTTGTCCATGCTCAAGTGATACCAGCGAGCACATCTGAAGTAGACACCGTGGGCCAACTGTTTGTGACGCGGGCACTGACGAGCGCTTGGCCACAGCATAACACTGGTGGCGGTGTGTGAGGCCCGCGAAAGGCTCATCAACCACTTCCAGTGGCGTTTTGATCGAGATAAACACCACCACTACACGATCCTTCTCCACGTAGCGGCGCAGAACTTGCTTCACACGGAACATGGCGTGCGTCGAACCAACGTACATTTCTTTCGCAAAATTCTCGACAATCGTATCTGATTCATCCAAAATCTGCACGAAAAATAAGCGATTCATAAGCTACCAGGAACTACAAAGTATGCAATACATACGGTGGCATCGTACCTTCGCAGTCTTTTCATACACCTTGCCTCTGTGCTTGTCGGCACCTTTAAAATGGTCCCACACTGCCTTAGCAGTGGTGTCCAGATCGAAAGGAAGCACCTTGTTTGAGAAAACATCCAGATAAATACCATCGTCTCCCTCACGCACTTGAGTATCCTTGTAGGTAACCTCCATTGAGTTCAGACCATTTGTACAGAATACAGCATCCATTTCGCGATAAGCGCCTTCGAGAATAACCAGCATGTCCTCAAAGTCGCCGAGGTCCGAATGATAATTGACCATACGTCCTGCCGCGAAATCGGTAGTATCGGGCGTCACAGTCCGGGCACACTCCATAAGCTGCCCAAATTCAGCACAATACTACGTCAGATCACAGCAATAGTGAGATCCAAGATCAAATGCCACAAAATGCATACCTGGTTCTTCGCTCGCTTAAGCAGTAGCATTTGCATGCTTTTGGCGGCCTTGAGTTGGCTCTCCAGAACCAATTTTAGACGTGCATTTTCGATTTCCGCTTTCTCTCTGCGTTTGCGTTGCTGCTGAGCCACAGGCTTCCAAACCGACTGATCAGCAACCGACGAGGGCACCATCGCGCCATCCTGTCCCAATGTTGAATCATCGAGTCCATCGTGCTTGATTAGCTTCGTGGAGGCTCGATGTTGCTGCAGGCTCTCCAGTTCAGCCTCCAGCTGAGCGACCTTCTCCCTAAGATATGCCACTTCAATGCGGCGTTCGTTCCTGGCTCGATTCGAATCGCCAGTTACCCAACTCTTGCGCAGCAGCTTCTTAACTGTCTGGCGCCGCGGCGCTCGCGCACGTTTAGGCTTCTCGCTCTCCGATCGACGGGGTGACCCGTCTTCATCAGTTGTGGAGTGATGGTTCTCGCTGTTGGGTTGTGGAGACGCCACCGACGACGAAGAGCTGGGCGACGTCTTCGAAGACGACGGGAAGCTCAACGCCCACTCCATCTCCTGCTTGTTCAGCACCTCTGACGGCTGATTGAGCGCGGGTGCGGCGCCTCTTCCATCTGCGAACTCGTCCACGAACGACAGTGCCGCCTCGAAGGCTGCCATCTCATCGTCCGCAAGGAACGCCATCACCGTCAGCCCCACTTGCTTTTTCAGTTGTGACATAGCATCTGAAGCATTTTCATTGAGCATGTTTTCTACCAATCAAATAATACTTGAGCTTGAATTTCGTGTGTCCACATCATATTTATTTCAAAAAAATTGTTACAACATACAACAGTATCCAAAAAACGGAAACCACAGTAGCAGCGAAACTGTGGTTTCAGCTTTTTGGATACTGTTGTATGTTGTATGTCGCCAGTTTCGGGCCACCCCTTCAATACTATAAAAACCCGGCTTTTTGACAATTCACTGTGCATCCACTAGAAATGCAAAATTCGAGCTGAAACAACAATGAGATGATAGTACACCGTAAAAGGAAACGATGGATGCAACCTTTATCTTGGTTTGCCAAGCGCATGTTCTACTTCTGGCATTGAGTGATACTAGTAAGACACTTCTACCCTCATGAATAGCATATGCTTTTGGATAGGTTTTAATACCGCCTAACAAACTGCCTACACAAAACGGCGTGGTAAAGACATCTTGACACTCGACTTCATTAGTCTAATGAAGTTTCTTTCTTGTTAGCGGAAGCTACAGAGCTATGGAATACTGCAAGCAACTCAATATTAAAAGAAGCGGCGAAGGGGGCATGATGTAGAGCCATAAATGAATGGGAGGTGTACCTTTGGGAACGAACTTGGGTTTATGGAAGCGCTTTCACGCAAGCAGGGGGTGTACACGCTTGCATATTGCGAAGTAGACATATCTGTAGCGTTAGCGAACTTATATGTAAAGTTAGCTGAGTCCGTATGCACTGCTATCAACTATCAGCCCCCCGCAACGGGAGGTGGTTCGGAACTGTTCGTCTACGAAAGGTTCGTTTTAAAAATCAGCCTATCTCGATCTCCTGCCCAACAACTACTGTGTAAATGCACCGGTGTACTAAGCTAACGTTTCTGTGTCATATGGTGTGCCCTGCGTCCCTCAAAGAGGCCTCATCGTTGTAATATTGACTTCTAGAAAGTGGTCCGGAACTGGTCGCGTACGGATAATAGGTCAGTCGTCAGTTCAAGCTGAAAGGAACGCGTGAAAGTTTCTTGTTTAGCTTTGGAAAGCTATACTTTCCTATTACTTGAAAGTTTCCTGTATACAGGAAACTTTCAAGTAATACTCTTTCCCAAGTTTTACTTGAAGCCTTTCGTCACCGTGAATCAGCCAATCAGGTCTCCGTTTCGCTAGATGCGCCATATGCTTTGCAAGTTCAGAGCAACGCATCAAAACTCAACCGGCGGTAAAGTGGCTCCGGTAGATTTTGATTCGAGACGGCAATGACAGCGACAATGATGTTTGCGGGTGTGGACATTGGCGCAACGGGCGTCAAAGTTGGTGTCGTAACTTCGGAAGGTGCTGTGGTGGCACGTGAGCAGGAGAACTACCACCCGGAGAAGCACGAGCCCCAGGACGTCGTGGATCTGGCCATCTCCGTGCTGCACAAAGTGCTCGAGGCGGTATGATCTATAGGCTATTACTCTGTTGTGTTCGAGTATCAAAGGTTCTAACTAGTCGTACGTGATGTGGACAGACCCGGTTGGGATTGGGAGACCTAGAGGCTGTTGGTGTGGGATGCCCCGGCGTTCTAGAGGCTGGTGGCGTCATCCGCGCTGCTGCCAACTTTCCGTCCTGGTTGGATGTACCACTCCAACAAGTGTTCACAAACACCCTGGGCAGACCGGTAAGAGGGATGCAAAAAAAAAAAAACTGGGTCTGGTTGCTCTGACGTTGGGCTTGTGATGCAAGGTCACTGTGTGCAACGACGCTGACGCTGCTATCTTAGCAGAGCAATGGGTGGGCACGGCCAAGGGTGGCATCAAGGATTTTATTATGTTGAGTATGATTGGCTTTTTGCAGGTCGATGATCATTTTTGATGGGGTTTTGACATGTAAGCTGCTCGTTTGGATGCAGCTCTCGGTACAGGTGTGGGCTTTGGTGTCGTTGCGAACGGCGAGCTTGTGCGAGGTGGCAGCAATGCCATTGAAGGGGGCCACATGGTACGGAACTTGCTATTTGGCGCTGCAAATAATGATAGTCCTAGTGAAAAAGGTTGTCCTCGTTGTTTTGGAGATTGTTGAACGCAACGGAAGACCGTGCGGTTGCTCCCAAAGAGGCTGTCTTGAAGCTTACAGCTCGGCTGGCGCGCTGATGTCGCAAGTTCAGGAGCATCTACGTGCTGGTTCGTTGCGCTCTCATAATCTGACTAGCTGATCAGTGGTCGTCTTTACGAAGGTCGTCCGTCATTCTTTTCATGAATTTACAGGCAGGGACTCGAGTCTGGCCAAGTATTCAGAAGCAGACATCAATGCTGAATTCGTTTTCAAGCATGCCGCTGAAGGGGACGACTTGTGCAAGCATCTGATCGAAGAAGTACGTGGCCACTATTTAGTAATTTGAGAGCGAGCAAAATCTGACTGATTCATGTTTCGATGTGATTTAGGCTGCCGACTACTTGGGTTTTGCATGCGTAACCTTCTGCCGAATGCTGGATCCGGAGGTAAAGTTGCTGTTGTTCATGTGATCAATGGCGGTTGAATGGACTAAAACCTTTCGCCTGAAGATTATCGTGCTATCTGGAGGAATTGCTGAAGCTGGCGAAACTTACATCGAAAAGATTCGGCGTGCTTACGCAAAGCACACGTGGGCCAAATTCCCCAATCCCGTAGGCTTCCTGTATTGCATTTTGCTTGTATATCTGCTTTCCAAGCTGACGTCTCGTTTTTTTTTTTCGTTTATTCGATGCTTAGGTTCGTATTGAGAAAGCTAGTGCTGGATATGATTCCGGTATCATTGGTGCCGTTGCAGTTTGCAAAAACCAACGCAAGGGCCCATGAAGGTATTACGTCTGGTGTCGTGCTCAAGCGGAGTGAGTACGGTAGAGGGCCGTAACTACCGTAGTTCGCATATTTCGTTTCTCAATACTCATTACCTACTTCAGCTGTCAATGGTATAAATTGAACAGCTTGTACTTGTACTACTTACTACATGTAGTACTACGCACGTTATTGATATCAACACAGCTTGCTTGTTGAAAAAAAACAAAGTGGTTTTGAGTTATCGAGGCAACAGAGCAAAGCATTACACCACGTATCGCTAGCAGATTAATCACTGTCACTGTCACTGATGACTGGGCTCGCACTTCCGTCGTTCTGCGGGAAGGGGCTATCACCCCTGCCATTTTTTTCAGCCGGGTTGCCTGCTTTCTCCGGAGAACTGTCGGGTGGAGGTGTGCTTGCCTTCGCTTCCTCGTCATCAGGTGATACCTGATTTTCTCCTGCCCGTCGGCGCTTGAACTCACGCACACTCTCATCGTCATCAAGCTGATCATCGTAAACTCCTCCGCATTCGAAAAGAATTTGAGTGCGACGCTCGTTTTCGCCTTCTGAGTAACCCCGGCGGTGAACGACAGCTCCATGACGGCGTTTTTCTTCGCCACTCATCTGCAATAGCCACACAAATGTCGGGGTTCAAACCAGAAGATAACACGCCGTCGACTCAACACGACGTACCTTCGTTTTTCTGAGCTGGATACGGTTCAGAACATCACTGTACGTGAACTGATTGGATTCAGGATCCAGCATGAAGACAACGTGCTGTGACTCGCGCTGCACAACGGAACGCCCGTCATTCATGAAGGAAAAGAATACAAACGTAAGTGAACTGTCAACCATTCTAGCAGAGCCCTGTTGCCAACGTACACTGTCAAGCGAATCCACAGACATAAGATACTCTCGGAGGTAAGAGAATTTCTCGCGATCGCTGCTTTCCTGCGGAAACAAAAAATCACACACTGATTACTTTTGCGTCACATCACTGTCGTCCTCACAATACAAGGGATACCTCCTCGTCCGTGGATGCGTTTGGTAAAAGAATAGATCCCTGAATAAGCTCGTTGCCGGCTTGAATCTTCTTGTTTACACCACACAACAGAGCACGTTCCTCGCGACTTGTAATTCCATTGCTCTTTACATCTTCCGAAGGAAGCATATCGTACGACTACAGATCGAGCATTAATATGTTAGTACGTCACAACATCTAGGATCGTCGCAACGACACTGCAAAAAAAAAAACGTACCAGAATTGCATACTTGTTGGCAGACAGGAGTTGGTCCGGGAAGACATCCCAAACTTTGGCAATTTTTTTCCTCTTGTTGTGTGGGTGCACCAACAGTTTGGGGTCGTTAATGTCGCGGAAGGATGCTTCGGCCCGGTCCTCCAACGTTACTGACACCACCTCCGCCAGCGCGTTCTCCGTACCCTCACGCAGTGCACTCTGAATTTCTGCCTCGCTCTTGAATTTGTGCACCGAGTCGTACAGATCGTTGCCCATGTACTCGGTGCGTCGCAGCCAAGAGACCGTCGGACGGGCCTTGGATCGGCCCTTGTTGCCAACATGGTCCTCCTTCATCATCAGTACCTGCTCATCGCCAACCTCAAGCGGCTCGGGCTCCAACGGGGCTGCAAAATAGTACCAAGAAAGATAATTAGTGCATAACGAATTTGTTATAACTCCACGAGTCCATATCGTTACCTTCGTACTTGGCTGGGTCGATGAGGTCGATGGTTAGTCCAAGATTGGGCTCCTCGTGGATCTCGTACGTGTAGTCCATTTCCAGCGTGTTGGGTTTGTACTTGATGAGTCTGTCCATACACAAATACTGTCAGTGTGCCCTTCATCTCTGTTCTGTATATCCACGCCTTCTGATCGCACCGTTCCGGTTCGTGCGGGTACTTGACGAACTTAGTGTCGAATGGGATATCCGGCAGCGTGTTGCGGAACTCGAGGGTGGCCAGGAACTCTGATTGTTTGCCAAGAAGAGCACGTCGCTTGGCCTGTGCGTGGCTCTCCAGGATCATGCGCGTGTGATCGCGACGCGCTTTGAGCTTGTCCTCCTTGTATTTGGCCACTTTCTTACGCTCCAATTCGTAGCGTGCGCGCTCCTCGGGCGTGGCGTTGGCTCCTGGAGGAACACGCCTTTTCCGCGTCTCGTCATGCTCTGTCTCGCGGGTGCGGCCGTTGCTGCTACTGCTCTTAGTTGCCGCCGCGCCGTTAGCCTCGGTCGCTGTCTTCACCTCCGCCATCGCCTCGAGCCTTTTTGGTGTAGCCTCCCCCTAAAAAGTCAATACTAGTATGGTGTTTGGCACATAGAATACGCTCCTACAAATTGTTCTATTTTAGATCTACACTTTGAAACGGCGTTTAGCTCGTCCGGCTTCAAGTGGCGCTTTTAGGCTGAAGCTTAGGATGAAGCAGATGCTGATCCTGGTGGCGCAGCATCCGGTCAAAGTGGGGGCTACGGTGCTGCTGCTCAGCGTTTTCTACAGCTTTGCGCGCGTGTTGGCGCTGCAGTATATGGTGGGCGCTTTACAGGATGCCATATTGCGCTATCCCAAGAATTTCCCACACGCTTTCTTCTTGCCGCTCTTCCACATCTCACTGACCGTTGCAGCTGCTGCAGCATTGTACCGAGACTACCGCCATAGCCGTTTATGGAGCTCCTCGACGTCGGCACAGCTTTGGAAACACGTGCTACCGCTGCCGCTCACGTTGCATCATGGCAAGTGGAATCGGCTTGTCGGTATTCCTCTTTATTCATTCATCATTGCGGTTGTCGACGCTGTACTGGTATTCATGGACCCGACCATTGAAAGTGCGCCCACAACCGTCATGAGGAGCTTTTTTCGACGGACCTCGGAGCTGGAGGAAAGACACTACCGACCGAGATACGTTGAAGGCATGATGTTTCAAGACCGTGCAGAAATGGTCGCGAGAATATTTACAGGTGGTGCCGCTGTTGAGGAGAGACCCACGACCAATTTGTTTTCGTATATAAGACTACCAGTTGAGGTGCTGCTAGCTGCAGGAGTATGTGCGAGCTTCGCGCTTGCGAGGTTCTTTCGTGAACCTCAACACGGTACGTCGAGCTATAGTTGTCCTTGTTTTCTTTTAATCTGTTGCATAATTATTGCCGCGTCCTCTGGTTTTAGATGGCGACGAATTACGAGAAGCTGTTAGGAACAATGACGTTCTAGGAGTGAAGCTGCTTCTTGCGCGGGGGATGAATCCAGATGCATGTTCAGGGGATGGCACGACCGCACTGCATGTTTGTGGACAGCAAGCAATTGATAGGGCAGCTCAAATTCTTCTTGAGAACGGGGCAGATGCTAACGTTTGCGATCGACTTGGGTTCACGCCGCTGCATTGGGCTGTACAAATGCGACGAGAGGAAGTGTCCACTGCAAGTCGCTTATCGACGATTCGAATATTGCTGCATCACGGTGCGGATCCACGCAAACCCGACGCAAGCGGCACAACACCGCTACTAATCGCATCACGGAAAGAGAACGAAGCTTCATTGGGAGTGCTAAAGGAATTCTTGCCTGAAGATGAGACCAGTGGAGAGGTTGAAACAACGGAAATGATAGACGAAGCCACAAGTGAAAATGGCAATTCTGAATGATCAACAACTTTATTACTAGCGACTACTAAATCCTGTAACGTCCATCTCTACAACCTGCAGCAAGATCAAAAACACAACGAAGGTCCTCATTATCACATGGGGTTGCAATAACTGTTAGCAAAACAGACGCGTACCATTGTCAAAATTCGCTCAAGCTCAGCTTTTGAAGCATAAAGCGGTAAATCCAGTCTGCACAAACGATAACAATCAGTGAAGAGATGACAACTGCAGTAAAAGCAATTAGCTTACCTGTTCAGGCATGTGCTTGCGTGCGGTAATACCGTGTACACGGTTGAAACATCTTTTCCCAACTGAATTGTGAAAAGCTGGATCTCGCCATCCATTCCAGTGAGACCCTGATGATAAAATAGGTGCGTGAATACCAGAGCGTTAGCAGCACAATGAAAGCGTCAATCAGATAGCCAACACTACCTTGAAGCCTTCGACGGGGACACCACTGGAGCCTGTTACATACTGCAGTAGTCGACCGCGTTGGTCTTGAGAGAAGGACTCCAGGACTTCCCAAAACCATCCTACTAATTCAAACTCGTGGGTACTTTGCTCGTAAAACCGAACATCAGTGTGCTGCCTCCAGTCGTTGACATCAATTTGCGGTAGACCGGAGAGTAGCAAGTCGAGCTCTTTGAAATCGAATACGTGGAGAACTGTATCGCTGATGACACTGCGGAGACCCTCCATGATACTCGAAATTTCCGCTCGAACGCTATCAAACAGATAATACTGCGCCACTTTTGCGACGTAAAGTTGCTTGTTTCCATCGTGCAGTGTGACGTCGGCACCGCTTGGAATGAGCTCAACACCTTCAACCGTGAAATTCAAACCCAGGGCGTTGGTGTTGTCGTTTTCAAGAATCCACATCATACTGGAGTACACCGTTTCGTCGAGGAGGTACAGGTCAGACAGCTTGAGGGGTACACCAAGAATGTGCTTCAAAAGGGGGATTGAAAGCCGCACATTCAGGAGAAGGCCTTCAAGCAATGCTTTCCCAAGCAGTTTACCGAAGAAAATATACATCTATTGCAAGAACACGCCACTGTTAGGAGATAAATCGTCAAGAATCAGCACGTGACAGTCAAGACATACCTCCAACTGCTTCGTACACTTTTCCGCGGAGGTCCGGTTAAACCAGTATCCTTGGTGTGCTGATGAGCTTGTTAATGTAAACAGCCCCGGTGCTTCAGCAAAAAGCTGGCTGCAAACTAAATGTAGCCATTCCCGCAATATTCCACCGCCATCGACGCCAGCCTCATCCATAAAATCAACTCGAAGACGACGATGGAGGGTTCCACTTGGTGCCGACATGAAAAGGTTCATAGACTGCTTCAAAACCCTGTCACGGTGAATCCCTGTTAAAAGAAATAAGCAGCAGTATTAGCCACTGTCAGAGGGAGAGAGCCCCGCAACCGATAACGTACGTATTGTATGGTATCCATCCACAATAGATGAGCACAACTTGAGTGAGTACTGGTAAAACCACTGCGCTTTTTCGGAGAATACTAAAGTCGACGCCCTCTGTTCGTTTGAAAAAAAAAAGAACGATCAGAATGTTGCCAAAATCAAGAATCTGCATTACCAACCTACCACGACGGTTTTAGAATACTGTCGAGATGATGCAGAAAACTCTTCCGCCAAGCGCCAGCGTGCGGTTCGACTTTGAGAACGTGAGTCATCATCTCGCACGAATGCTGTCCCAGGAGTAAGCCATGAGAGTTGCTGCCCACTACTGTCCGAAAACAGGACTGAAGACACAGACATCCGAGATGGCCCAGATACTTTGGGAGGATGCCGCTTGTGCCAATCCTGGAAGTCACGCTCTTTTATAATGGTACTGCATAAAGCTTCATTGTCTTGAAGAACTTCAAATGGGATATGTACCTGAAGTCCAAAATGCTACAATTAATAAACACCCCACACACTTCCAACATAAAAAAGAATGCCCTACCCAGCGAACGTTCTGCCCTCCAATGCATCGTTTCCATTGGTGACGCTCGCGCGCAACTAGCTGGCGGTCAGTTAAATCCCCACTGTGAAATGTATTTAGGCTTCGAACCCAGGCCGCGCGAGGAGAAGACATGAGTAGGTAGTTGGAAGCTGAGCGCGTACTGTCTTCCACTTGCGGAGCGACTACTGCCGACGTGTTTGTATCTTCTTGTCGGCTCCGGATTATCTTCAGTTCTGCGGTACAAGTATGTGCAGCGAGAATAGCACAAAAAGCGTGAGCAAACACTCTTTTTTACAGTTTTCCACATTCCTGCTCGTCAAGGCAAACCTTCAGCTGTAGTGCCGCATAACACACAACCAGTTTGAGAAAACTCGTTTGTGTGAAGACAGACTTCACATTTCCAACCAGCATTTCTGCAACATCCACAACACCGGAAGATGTTAGGCGAAACGTATCGACACGTAATATCAAAACGGCGTACGGTCGCTCGATGAAGGCTCGGTGGCGTGAACGTCGATTAGTGCTCGTGCAGCATTCGACGCAAGCTTTCCATGTTAAGCAGACCGTAATCAGCATCAGTCCGACGCCAATACTGACGCCGATGACCACGGTTTTAACGCTGCTGCTGCCATCCGAGCTGTCCTCATAGCCGTTGTAGCCGCTAGAACTCCCATCTACAGAACAGCAATGCACCGCACGAATCAGTATCTCTTCCCAATCGCAATAACCCCATACGTTTGCAGCGTACAATAGTAGCCGTAGCCACCGGAACTATTGGAGTATGTGCCGTCCACAATGGGCATGAGGCCCCGTAAGCCCACGACATCTCGCTTATCAGCGCCTTCTAGTTGATCGGCTTGTGTATCTGTCACCGTTGCGGCTACTGACTTAATTGTGCACAGGAGCAAACCTGCGACTATCGACAGGAAGTTCCGACGTCGAATCGCGCTCGCTCTCGAAACGTTGGCGATGCGCATCTTGGCCGCCTGCAAGCAGCGAATCAAGCGGGGGTGTCTTGTGGTGTTCAGTCGCGCATGGACCCGGAGGTACCGGTGCATGAACAGCCTGGAACGTAAGACTTCCGAGCCGGAAACGCTCGAATACCTTTCGCTTTGCCGCAAGTTTGCGAAATGTCTTGCATGTCCTTATTTCGACCAATGACAAAAAACGTCAACAGAGGTCTCGATACGGGGCAAAGACAGGCGTGAGGGGCATTGTTCACGATATCGGTCGGATTTTCGACCTCATCGCTTGCATCGAGATGAACAACAGCTCTTGGCGTGCGACTCGCTCACGCCATCGGATGTGCACGTGCCTTGCAGTCGTCAATACAAGCACATCTTGGCGGCAGCGTTTTACATGTAACCTACCGAGCGCTTCAGCTTCAAGGAGGAGCTTCCCTCCGACTGAAAGTGCGTCATGTACACCGCGTTACAACACCAGCAGCTTTATACTATTTACATTTTTTTCTCGCGAATTTATCGTCATGAAGTCGATCTTTGCGCTGTTGGCCTCCGGTCGGCTCAGTGGATGCTGTGTTGCTCACCTCCTGTCTGTGCTAGCGCGCCTCCTTCGGAGCTGCAGCACCTAATGGTGTTTATAATTTGAAAAAAAGATAACGCCGCCTTTAGTCGTCGGGATACTTTCCCACCTCCCACTACGGTGACCCAAACAACGACCAACCGCGTTCGTCTTGACTCACTTACATATACTCGAGGCCATCCAGCTTCTTATCGTTTTCGTGTCCACCATCGCTGAATTCATTCTCCATGCGATGTGGCACATCCTTCTCTCCCGTTACGAACCTCCTTCGGTCAGAGTGCTCGACGGGGTGAACAATTTAGTACGCTTGACAAAATTTGCGCAAGCACCCCATGGAGGAAAGCACCGGATCGGAACGCACTGCGTCGATGAACGTCTGAAGACGTACTCGGCGCGCGTTCAGCACGTGGTCCGTTAACTCGGGCTGGACGAAAAGCACTGCGCCGCTCGAAAGGTGCGGCACCTTGACGTCACGTGACTGCTTCTTGGCCTTGAGCTCCTTCTTCAAATCACGCTCGAGTTGCTTGAATTCGTCAAAGGTAGCAGTCACATCCCACATAATCACGGGGTTCATGTGCTTTTCCTGGGTAGCCGACTGGGTGCCGCAGTCTACGCGCACGACGTAAATATCGCGAGGTTTGCGCTTGCCAGGCACCGCCTGTAGGAATGCCTTGCCGATGCGAATATTCGCCTCACCCAGATTCATGTCCACACGGCGGCGCATGTCGCCCGGCACCACATTGACCAAAAGACGATTCCTGTTGAGGTGCGCCAGCACACGACGTCGAGCAGCCGGGGCCTGAAGTTCTTTTCTCTTGGAAGCAGACGCTCCGTCTGCCTGGGTGGACTTGGATGGGATAACCGAGAGCAACGGGAGCTTCGAAGTCGAACCGGTTGCGGATGTCTTCTTTTCCAGCTCCGAGATGCGGTCGTTGTAGTTCCGAATGGAAGCTGTGTTTGACGCGGTAGCAGTATCCATGGACAGCATTGCGAGGCCGATAAACGTGTAGAAGCTGATGAGCGCGAATGCCGCGGTGTGAGCCAGCAAAGTAAGGACGACCGAGAGGACGTTCCAGGCAAGCACACAGACGACGTATGTGGCGAGCAGCAGCGATGAAGCTGAGCTGAGGGTGACGTCGAGATGTAGCAGTGAGTCATAGGCGCTGGTCAGCACGGTGAGGCGGACACCCGGCAGGTTGAGCACAATGGTAGGCTTGGCATTGTCGGAGCTCGAGGCCCGCTCACGGGGCTTATTGGCACCTGTAATAGGCTGCATCGCAGTCTTGAGAGTCTTCATATTGGGACGAATAATTCGTACACAGAGCACTCAAAAGCGAGCCGAACGTTGGAAACTGAGACCGGCGAACGGAGTACCAGCAGGAGAGTTTGACTTCTGCTGGCGAGTTGGATTCTTCTTTTGGGACAGCAAGTAATGGCAGCTCAAGCAGTGCGGCGCCGAGCGTGGCGCTATGCTGCTGCCGGGTCAATGGCTCTGCTGAGTGCTGCCCCGGTTTTTGCTAAGTGGAGCCTGCAATGGGGAATGACGGCGGCGGATGTTGATGTCCGAAAGCGGACCAATCCTGTTGCAGATTTTGGTCCCACTTTTGAACTGGCTACTTAAATGTAGTAGTGAACGACGTACAGTGAACGTACCACCGTTTGCTATTTTGTCATTCTCTTGCTGATTAGGCCACTACTTGACATGCTACGCACGGCACCATAATGCACGCACCTGGATTCTCTTTTGTCCGGCGTTGCTGACTGACATGTATTTCTCTCTGGCTGCTCCGCTACGTGAATTCTATCCCGTCGCAGGATAGTTATTATAATACCCACAGCAAGTTGAAGTGGCCCCTTTCATACTACAAGTCTGTAGTAGTACATAATAAGCCATGACAAGCCCAAACACTGAAGCAGGGATACTGTACCATCACGTGAAACATTTGCATTTGCTGCCGAGTTATTTGTCGGCTCTCTTACTTGAGTCGCTGAGCTGTGGCCTCCAGGAGCTGGTCGGTGAAGTCCATATCGGCGGTGCGAACAGTCAGATCGACGAAGCCACCGCTACGGATCTTCACGTGGATCAATCCTACATGCTCCGAGTTCACCAGACGGCAAGCAGCAATCGCTTCGTTGGCTGGCGTAAACAAAGAGAAGACAATAGTGTTAGACCTTCGACTGCGAACCAGATGCATCAAATAGACAAGGCACGTACTGGTCGGAATGGCCTCGACGGTGTGCACGTTGAAAATGTGCATGCGGCCCATGAAGTCCTCAAGCGTGCGGATACCGCTCGGGTTCACCTTTGTTTTCTTCTCGCATGGGCATGTGCCCCAGCGACCTCCAAAGTCCTGTGTAGTGATCTGCCAAGGCTCTAGCTGACGTCCGTTGTACTGGAACACACTGGTGTTGCTGCTGCTGCCGCCCAGCATGTTTAAACCATTAGAAGGGCTCTTGCCAAGCTCAACGGCAGCTATACATGCAAACAAAAACCGTAGCAAACCATTAGCAAATTCTCTCATCATAGCATCACGAAAGTCATGCGTACTCACCGTTCATGCTCGAGCCGAGACCCGACATATCGAAGGGGTCCAACGACGCGGAGGGGGCAGGAGAACTAGCTTCAGGAGCAGCCGCTGGTGCCAGCGGAGAACCCATTCCAAACGGGTCTGCGTTCATCATTGGCTGTTGTTGTTGTGGCGGAGGCTGCTGGAACATACCTCCGTTCTGCGGAGCAGTTGGGGCGTCAAATGAAATGTCGAGCAAGTCCATCTCCACCTTCGACTGTTGCTGCGGAGGCAGTGCTTGCTCCACCGGGGCCTGAGCTTGGGGTGGTTGCTGCTGTTGCTGCTGTTCATTGCGGTTCGATGCACGACGCGATGACGAGCGACCGGTACGACGGCTTGAGTTGAGGGTTGCACGGGTGCTGGCGCCAACGCGGCGAGCACCAGGCATCGGTGCCGGTGCGCCGGGGATGCCACCAAAGATGGCGGAAGCCAGAATCTGCCGCTCGTCGACATTGCCGTTGGCTTCGTCCTCGCTCGAAGGTTCACCATTATCGTAGTTGTTAGGAGCACCGTAGTCCGGCTGAGGTGGCTGTTGCGGAGGCTGCGCGCCGTAAGCTCCCTGACCACCATAGGCAGGAGGCTGAGCACCATAGCCACCTTGTCCACCGTAGGCGCCCTGGCCGCCCATATTGCCCTGGTTGCCCTGGCTGTATGGGTCGGACGGGTAACCTCCAGGGCCACCAGCACCAGGTTGTCCGGGTGGCGCATTATCAGGCGTGTTAAGACCCGTAGGACCCCACACATTCTTGACCACTCCACGCTTTCCAGCACCAAAGCCCCCGGTAGGATCGGGGCCTCCAGAGCTACCCAATCCTGGCATACCACCCTGAGCGCCATTGCCACCCCATTTGTTGACTCCAAAAGCACCTTGCTGGTCCGCAGGAGGAAGTTTCGTCGGGTACGGGATCTCAGGCTTCTTGTATGCTTCAAAGTTCAGGCGATTCGAATCTCCGCCGTTGCGACGGTGTCCATAGCCTTCATCCTCATCGTCCGAGTCCTCTGGTGGGTCGTAAAGCGGTGCTCCCTGAGCCGCAGCCTTCTCAACAAAGCTCGTGAGAAACGAGAGGTTGGGGTCAACCTCAATGTCCTCGCAGCTAGCGTCCTCCGGGAAGACCTCGTTCATAAGGGGGAAGTTCTTGGTAAGCGCAAGATATTCGAAGCAGCGCTGCTGCAGGTCCGTACTGCGGCTGTTCTTATACTTCTCCATCATAGCATCGGCCACATCAATAGTATGTCCCATCTGAGCCGTGATCTTCGTCACGGCTGAAAGCACGTAGCCACGTGTCGTGTCTTCCTGGTCGAACGGGCGGTCGACAAGCTCCACAAGCCGCTCGCAGATTTCTTCCAGCTCCATGGCGTCCGACAAGTAGCCGTACTCGCCAAGGACCCAGGCCATGGTACAGACCAAGATGTCCGGTAGTACGGGGCGCTCAAGAAGTTCCAGATACGTATCCACCGCGTCACGACGCAGCTCCATATCCTGGTCTTCGTCTTCACCGCTTCCCTCAGCAATCAGACGCAGTAAGTTATGCGCCACTTCGGGGCGAACCAGGTCTCCACCGAGCTCAAACACATTCGTCATGGTCTGGATGTACCAGGCGTTGCTGGGAGCATAACGTTCAGCACATTGCGTGATACGCGACACCAGTTCTGTGCGAAGGAAAACATCCGAAGCTTCACGCAAGAACTGCGTGAGTTTGTCCGAAATGAACTCGACGTTCACGGGGTTCGTCATGCGGTACAACAGATCCAGCGTCTTGCGCTTAAGCGTCTCATCCGGATCTTCGAGGCAGTCAATGACAGCCATTTGGTGCGCTGCAGCGTACCGCGGGTGGTCCTTCACAATAGCAGCAAGTCCGGTGACACCCAAGTACTTAAGGTTGTGGTTATCGCTCGAGATGAAGCGCGAGATGCTAGCAGCCGCGGCATCGAGCAACGTGCTGTTCGGATAGATCGTCGTCACCGTCTGCACGCACTCGTAGATGATAGCGTAGCCCACATTGATGCCAGTGTCAGCGCGACGCATCACATCGTGTAGCACTTCATACATTCCCTCACTGGTCTGCTGATCGGCCTGGCCCAGCAATGCCAGGATCTTCAGTAAACGGATCTGGATCCACGGCGCTGGAATGCGGTGGTAGTCGAACTCACGTGGTAAACGGTGCTCCGTGATCTGCTTGAGGATGCTAACAAAACTGGGCACGAGGTCCTTGTAGTCCGTGGGGGTGGCTTCCGCCAGGTCGTGCAGAATGCACAGCGTGGCTCCCATGACACTGGGGTCGCGATCACACAGGGTACGACGCAGTGCATCTCCTGCTTCGCTGACCGAATCTGGATTAAGCTGGTGGAAGCGGTGGATAGCCATCACTGCCTTCTTGCGGACGAGCTCGGCGTCGTGACGCAGCAGATCGAGGATCATGGGCTGCACGGCTGGCACCATCTCCACGGTTACAAGCTTACAGACCGCCATTAAAGCAGCGCATACTTCGAGGTGATTGGAGCTCTGCAAGTCTCGCTGCAGCTGATTAATGATCATGAAGCGGAATTCGTGTGTGGGTGACAGACAGAGGCTGCATGTGAGGTAGCCCACTCGCTTCTGCATGAGGTTGGTGCTGGCAGTCATCTCCACGGCCTTGATGTAGCCGAAAGACGCGTCGTGGCCCAGCATCTCCACGTACATGAGGCGAATGAGGAACTCGCGCTTGCGCTTGTTCACCAGGCTGCTGGACGTGCTGGAGGTGGCCGTCACCTCGCTCAGCTTGCGCTTGAGCTGTGCCACCTCATGGATGATGATGCGGTCCTCCTCCTGCTTTGACTTGCTCTCGCCGATCGACTTGACCAGCTCGAAGAACTCCTTGGACAAGTGCCCGCCCGACATGGCTGCTGCTTCGATGTGGATGACGTGGACGTCGACGATCTCGGATTGAGGGGGTGCCGTATGATTGTAGTGAGTTTCATACCGGTATCCGAAATCGTTTTAACAGAGATTAGCTGATAATACCGCAGTACTGTAATAACATTTTGGTTTTACCGTTTTTACAATGGGTAAAATCAAAATAAAGTGAGCAATATCCGGCGTAATGTGGGCTACACATTTGTCGAATCACTGTCCGAAAATGGCGGTCGATGGTGGTGTGGAACTGACCGATGCGGTGCTGCGCTCATTCAGTGTCGCGCGTAACTTCGCCCCGCAGGTAGAATGCAGCCGTGGTTATAGATGCAAGTACTGGCTGTATTTCTAGCTGTTTTACTGATGTCAACTATCTGCAGGAGGATGAGGACCCGAACGTGAAGATCACGTCGCTGGACTTCCACCGCAACGGCGAGCGGTGCGTCACGAGTCGCAACGACGGCGTTATGTCTATGATCAACTGCTTGAGCGGCACGTACGTTGTAAACACCTGCACCAATATGATCCGCAGGAGTGACGACTGACTGGCGATCATCTCTGGACAGAGTCGCCAAGACGATCTTAACCAAGCGATACGGCGTGGGCATTGTGAGATTCACCCACCACCTAGACTGCGTGATCTTCTCATCGGCTAACACTGCCAATGACCGTACGTTTCTCGTAATAGCGTTCCTTGTTATCAGTTATACTGGGGACACTTATCATTGTCTGCTGGTAACTACCTGTCTGTAAAGACCGCATTCGGTATCATTCGTTCTTCGACAACAAGTTTCTTCGCTACTACACTGGTCACACCGACAGGTAAATTAATTTGGCGTGCTGTGATTTGATAGGGTAATTCTCACATAAAGGCGAACGTGTTGATAATAGAGTCACGTCGTTGATGATGCACCCCACTGCAGACCAATTCCTCTCCGCCGGAATGGACGGCACGATCCGACTATGGGATATCCGCAATTCTGATACCACGGTGCGTGGTAGCCTTACTATAATCCGTTGAGCTCAGCTGATCGGTAGCATATCCTGCGTTTAGGCCATTATTCGAACCGACCACTTGCCAGTCTCGCACGTCTGCGCTGCGTTTGATCAGGAGGGTGTGGTGTTTGGTGTGTACACGGATGACCACTTGATCCGCATGTACGACGCACGAAACTACCAGGAAGGACCATTTGCCAAGTTCTCGCTCTATGATGCATCAGTGATGGCAGCAGTGGAGCCGTTCCTTGCACACATGCAGGCTCCGAATTTGAGCGCGAAGAAGCTTCATGCACTTGACCTCAAGTTCAGTCCCGATGGAAATCAGTTGCTTGTCACAACGAATCGCGGAGTGTTCCTTCACCTGGATGCGTTTGAGGGCAAGCTTCTGCATCTTTTCAAGGAGCACGGGTTGAGCCAGAGTCAGCGTGGCGATCCCCAACTTGGTTGCTGCTACTCAGCTGATGGCTCTTACGCGGTCACTGGATCGGAAGATGGACGCGTGTTTTTCTATAAGAGCTCTACTGGTCAGTATGTGCATTCTTTTCACCAGGGTCACAATGGCCCCGTGTTGGACTTGCAGTGGAATCCAAAGCGCCATCTTCTAGCGAGTGCTGGAGGCAACTCCACCGTGTTATGGTCGGCGACTGGAATCTGAGCATAAAGTGAATGAAGAACTGCGAGACTGCGCCTCACCTCTGTCGTGTGCCCGTACTTCTTTTATTTGTATTAGTGTGTTGCTGTACTGGAGGTCCTGGAGATCATTTCTTGTCGATGTAGTTATCAATTTGAGTTGCCGCTGTTGCTTCAGCTACAGTACCTACACTGTATTCGGACGCGGAGAGCTTCAACTATGGCCTTGTTCAACCAGACGATGATCCGAATTAAGATGGTGCGATAATTAATGGTGTGTCTCTCAACTCCTCACTTTCGATTTCACCGCGTGCTGGACCGCGAACGGATGCTTGCTATTCGGTCACTTACAGCTTCGGCCTTGGCCTGTGCTCTCCTGGCAACCCAGTTCCCCTCCGTCGTTGCTGACTACACGGTTAAAGCTGATGTCTCGACAACGCTGCTGGAGAAGTGGGAAGGATGGGGCACTTCGCTCTGCTGGTGGGCCAACGCGTTCGGAGACCGTGAAGACATCGCGGATGTGTTCTTCACGCGTAAGGAGAGTGTAAAGCTGGAAGGAGCAACAACAACGCTTCCAGCTTTAAGTTTCAACATCGCGCGTTACAATATTGGCGGGTCGAGCAAGAACGTTATCGATGATGGCGGCACCGAGATCGCCATGAAGCAATCGGAAAATATGCCACCATTCAAGTTCATTGAATCATTTTGGCTTAACTGGGCAAGCAACGACTCGACGAGCAAAAGCTGGAACTGGGATGCCGACCTGAAGCAGCGCACGATGCTCGATCTGGCCATCAAACGCGGCGTCGACATTACGGAAGCGTTTTCAAATGCCCCTCCTTGGTGGATGACGCACAACCACGCCACTGCTGGCGGAGACGACGGCAAGAAGGACAATTTGCAGTCCTGGAATCACGACGCATTTGCACTGTATTTGGCCACAGTCGTCAAGCAGGCCAGGGAAAGCTGGGGTGTTAACTTCACGTATATTGAGCCTTTCAACGAGCCGATGAGTACATGGTGGACTTACCCGGGCAAGCAAGAGGGCTGCCATTTCGAAGTAAAAACGCAGAACGATGTATTGCTTCAACTTCGAGGATATCTGGATAAATTCGGGCTGAAAGATGTTATCATTGCAACTTCTGACGAAAACACGCCTTCGATAGCGTTGTCGACGCTAACCGCAATGTCAGAAAACCCCGATGTGATGGCCACTTTTGGCAAGGTGAATACGCACGGCTACGAAGGACTTAGTCCATACCGTGGAAAGGATCGTGGGCCTTTGAAGTCGCTCGTAACGAAGTCGAAGAAGACGCTGTGGGACTCTGAATACGGCGAAAAAGATGGAACGGGGCTTGGTATGGCCGAATCGATCGCCTTGGATATTAATCAGATGGGTGTGTCGGCGTTCGTGTACTGGCAAGCGCTTGACGGTGGAGGCTGGGGCCTTATTCAGTCGAGTCCAGGCAATATGACCATTAACACGCCTAACACCAAATACTACGCGCTGGCACACTATTCACGCCACATTCGACCGGGCATGGCCATCCTATCGACGGACGACGTGAATACCGTAATGGCCTATGACGCGACGTCCAAGTTGTTGATACTTGCTACAGTAAATACGGGAGATGCGGCTTCAAAAGTCAAATACGACTTGGCAAGCTTTAAGACTGTTGCTGGACCGGTGTCTGCATGGACGACGGAGACGAGCGGTAAGGGTGCACTCTACAAGCCGTCGAAGGTGGAGCTGACTGGGACGTCGTTCAGTGTGTCGATTCCGGCTGCATCGGTGATGACATTCGAGGTTGAGGGAGTTGCTTGAATGAGGTGCTTGATCGCAAACGATCGAGATGATCCTGCTGCATTCATGATCCAGGATTAAATTGATCTAACTTTGTCAGCACATCGAGCTTTGGATCATCTGGCTATCGATACCGAGTCCACGATGGCCGATCAACAACTATGGTGCGTTAGCGTTACAGAAGAATTACGTACTTGACTGACTCACTTGACTCACGTCGATTCTCGGAAGTACAATCGAAAACTTGAAGCCACAGATAACGTGCAGTGACCACCTCATCGCAGTTTGATCCCAAATCTCCATCTCGGATCTTCAGCTGTTCGAGCAGAACAATGTGTGACATGGCACAATTTTGTGCCTGGCTCAACGCTGCCGGCATTCCATTGCGTTCTCCCACTTTCGCTTTTGGACCCGACAAGTAAAGTCTAAACAATGCTTTCCATTCGGTCGCTCGGAGCTGCGGCTTTGGCGTATACTTTCGTGGTTTTGCTTCCCTCGCAAGTCGCTGCGAAGGACTACACGGTCAAAGCCGATGCGGCCACCACAGTTGTCGACACATGGGAAGGCTGGGGCACGTCGCTCTGCTGGTGGGCCAATGCTTTCGGAGACCGTGAGGACATTGCCGACCTTCTCTTCACGCAGAAGGATACCGTCACACTCAAGGGTAAATCGTCCGGTCTTCCAGCACTCGGTTTCAATATTGCCCGCTACAATGTCGGAGGATCCAGCAAGAACGTCATTGACGATGGCGGTACCGAAATCGCGATGAAGAACTCGCCGAATATGCCAGCGTTCAAGTTTATCGAATCGTTTTGGCAGAACTGGTCAAGCAACGATACGACCAGCAAGAGCTGGAACTGGGACGCCGACGTGAAGCAGCGCAAGATGCTGGAGTTGGCTACACAGCGTGATGTCGACCTCACTGAAGCGTTTTCGAACTCGCCTCCATGGTGGATGAACAATAACCACGCCACTGCTGGCGGAGCAAGTGGAACGAAGGATAATCTACAGACCTGGAATCACGGTCAGTTCGCACTGTATATGGCTACGGTGGTAAAACAGGCAAAAGAGAGCTGGGGTATCAACTTTACGTACGTCGAGCCATTTAATGAGCCCATGAGCTCGTGGTGGCAGTACCCAGGTGGTCAGGAAGGCTGTCACTTTGATGTAGCAACGCAAAAGGATGTCTTAGTGAAGCTACGGACTAAGTTGGACCACTTTGGGCTGAAAGACGTGGCAATTGCGTCGTCCGATGAAAACTCAAACACGCAGACACTCTCCACGCTCACTGCCATGTCCACGGATG